ATCGCACACCACCACCACCAGAAAGCGGGCCCACCCACCCCGGCACAGTAGCTGGGAGAGCGGCCAGGCGGGCGGGCGGGGGCCGCAAAGGTGAAGGCGGCACGCGGGAAGACCGGGCAAGGGGAGGACGGGGCAAGCGCAAAAGCGCAAGCATCTGCGGGTTACGGGGGGGAGAGTAGGGGCGTGACGACCAGAACGGCAGGCACGGAGTGAGCGAAAAGAGGGGGGGACGGCGGGCCGCCCGGCACGCGGCGGCAGCAGCAGCAGCTGCCTGCCCGAACGCAAATCGCTCGGCGGCAACAGGCTCCTCCGCCAAGCCACGCCACCCCACGTCTCAATTCGCTGAAGGGAAAGCACCAGGGCTTGGGGCCGCGACACACGGAAGCGGGAATTGGGGGGAGGGGCTGGCGCGCACAAAACGCGTCGTAGGGGGCGAACAAGTCGCAGAGGGGGTGGCAGGGCACCAACGGGGCACACGGGGGCTCATACAACGGGCCGGGAGCCGGCACCGGCCCGAGGGGGTGTTCGCCGGACTAGCCGAGCCGCGGGCGCCGCAGGGCCCGGGGCACCCCTCCACGCACCATCAGGAGGCCATCTCGAGTGCGGGCAGTTGCAGAATGGGCGGCTGGCGGGCCAAGCGAGCCGGCGATGCTGCGGTCGCCCTCGTCCTGCGTCCCCAAGGCAGGGTGTTGCTCAAGAAGGGCCCCAGAGGAGCGGGAGGGGGGCGCGGGGCCCGGCCGCGCCGGGGGACTCGAGCAAGGAACGATGAACAACCGACAACGAGTGTGTGTGTGTTACAGGGATTGGGCACATTAATGTGCTGGGGCCGAACCCGCTAACCCTGCCGGCTGTCCAGAGCGAGGAAAATCTGGCCGCCGATGGCATCCGGGGGAGGCTCCGTCTTGCAAGCGCCATGCCGGTCTGCCGGGCAGCCGTCCACCGCCCAGATGCCGCCACGAAGGTGCCGTGAGGCAAAGTCCCAGCTAGTGTCCCGGCTGGGGTTCGAACTCGTGCCTGTGGTATCACCCACCGGCACTCATCCAGCTCCTTATTTAACGTCGCGGCCAACGACGGAAAAAATTTGATCTGTGATGTTACAGAGGCAATGCCCATTAATGGGCTGGGGGCACACAAGCCGTGCCCACTAGCTCTGGACTGTATGAAAGCATGCAATACCGCCCGGGCGGCAAAGGGCGGGCTCAGGGAGCGGTCGGGCGCAAAGGGCGGGGAGGGAGGCGAGGGGCGCCTGATGGCCAGCCCAAGGGCGGCAAGCATACCAGTGGGGGGGAGGGGCAGGTCGAGGACCCGCACACCACCACCACCAGAAAGCGGGCCCACCCACCCCGGCACAGTAGCTGGGAGAGCGGCCAGGCGGGCGGGCGGGGGCCGCAAAGGTGAAGGCGGCACGCGGGAAGACCGGGCAAGGGGAGGACGGGGCAAGCGCAAAAGCGCAAGCATCTGCGGGTTACGGGGGGGAGAGTAGGGGCGTGACGACC